TGTCTCCACATCCAAGGCCATCATAAGAAGGCAGTGGGGTACACCTCCCAGGATGGGAATCAGTCCCCAAGACTCTCTGTCATGGAGAGTGAGCCCCATGTTGGGCTTCAAGCTGCCAGAAATGTGTCTGAGGTGCCAAGAAAATAATCACATGATCTAAAGTATTTTGGCAAGGCAAAAAATTTTGTTTTAAAAAATATTTTATTATTTTATGTGTATGTATGAGTGTATTGCCTGCGTGTATGTGAGTGCACCCGTGTTGTGCGGTGCTGCGGAGGTCAGAAGAGGGCTTCGGATCCCCCTGGAACTGGAGTTAAGGATGGTTTGTAGCTGCCATGTGGGTGCTGGGAATCAAACCCAGGTCCTCTGCAAGAGCAGTCAGTGCTTTTAACCACTGAGCCATCTCTCCAGCCCCAAGGCAGAAACTTTTTATATCTGCAGAAGGATGCAAAACTGCTGTAAATCCAGCAAGCAAGCAAGCCCAGTAAGGATCTGCTTTTTTTTTTTTTTTTTTTTTCTAACCCAGATGGGTCCTGTGCCTCACTCTGAGCTCAGCCTCACACTCTTAGGCAGTTAATTCAAAATGCTGTAGCTGATAAAACAAAATGCAGCTTTTGGGAGCAGGATGCAACCTTGAGCAGAGACTTTAATCTCAGGAAAATGCTGACTGGAGGAGGGAGTTTTTCGAGATGGTGCTTTGACAAATTTCTTTAAAGATGGAACTTTGTTTCATTTAACCCTTTGATAGAAAAGCCAATACATTTCTCACAGTTTCCTTACCAGTAAATATAGTACAGTGCTTCTTAAGATCTTTTTAAATTTTTATTTTTTTGTGTATTTTACCTGCACTTGTGCCACATGCATGTAATGCCCACAGAGGCCAGAAGAGGGCATCAGATCCCCTGGCACTGGAGTATTTGTTAGCCACCATATGGGTGCTGGGAACTGAACCTGGATCCTCTGCCAGAACAGCTGGTGTTCTTAACCACTGAGGTATCTCTCCAGCCCCAGTACAGTGCCTCTTGGGGTTATTAAGACTTTACGACATGGGCTAGTGTTCTGTGTTAGTTCACTTCTGCGGTCCCTGTGACCACAACACTGGACAGGAACAATCTAAGGGAAGACTTATTCTGACTCAAGCTTCCAGAGTATTCCAGTCCATCATGGTGGGGAAGATATGGCAGGTGTATGTGGTAAAGGTTATTCAAATTCCTGTGGATCAGAGAGCAGAGAGTGAGGCAGGACCAGGGACCAGGCCACAACTTTCAAAGGCCCACGCTTAGCGACCCTCTTCCCCCAGGTAAGTCCCACCTCCCAAGGTTTCCAGAGCATCTCAAGTTAGCACCAACCCTGGGGACCAAGTATGCAAACACGAGCCTGTGGGCGACATTTCAGTTTCAAACCACAACACCCTCTTTAATGAGTGTAACTAGTTTTATTGTGTTATTGTGGCCAGAAGGGTTTGCAAAGAACTCTGGGAAGCTGGAAGGCCACCTCTGTCTAGTGGGGGCGACCTAGGCAGGTTTCCAGAGAAAAAGCCACTGGTTAAAGAATATGGAGATTTTCCTGGGTGAGGGGCTGGTTGGGCCAGGTACTGGGGCATCTGGTAGGCAGCAAGGCGGCCACAGTGTAGAGATGAGGCAGGGCTCAGGTCTGGGTAATATGGTGAGGTTAGGACTTTGTCCAGAGGATCGGGAGGTGGGGGTGGGGGGCAGGAAAGGCTACAGAAAAGAACACTCTATTAGCAACAGCAGAAGATTGGATTGGGAGAAGGCAGATGCGTCATGTGGAAGCTGGGGCAGAAGTCAGGCAAGATGAGTGGGTCTGAATTCAGGGAGAAGTGGTTGTATAGGAAGCATAATTGACAGGGTTCCAGGTCCACAGGATGAGGGGTGAGGCAGGGAAGCAGGGCAGGAGCGAATACAGGATGCAGGGAGATAGGGCCTCACAAGGGCGGCGGGAACAAGGGTATGTGGGGATTCATGCATGGTGCATGAGGCCTAATGCAGGAGTTCTGGACTTCTGTGTGAGGCTGGCCAGTGGTGGCAGCAAGGAGAAGGGAGGCTGAGGGCTCTACCCAGGATGTTTAGTAGCTGTTTTTTCTTGTTTTTTGAGCCAGGGTCTCAGTGTTTAGTGCTAGCTGGCTACAAACTGGCAGGCTCCTGCCTTTTGCCTTCCGAGTGCTGGAATCACAGACACACACCACCATGCTGGGTGTCTCATAGCTACTTGCTCAAAGATTCTACAGAGGAAATATTGTGATGAAGATGAGACTAACCCTCGCTGAGATAGATGCAGGCTGGAGACAGAACGGCTCTTTATTCTTAGGGCTGGTTAGTGACAGAACTATTTAAAAAATTAAACATTTGCCATATTTATGTGTATGTGCGTGAGTGCACGCACACCTCCTCACATGTGTGAAGGTCAGAGGACAGCTTTAGAGATTTAGTCTCTCCTTCCATTATGTGGGTTGGGCTTGAACTCAGGTTGTCAGTTTTGGCTGCAAGTGCCTTTACTGGCTGAGTCATTGGCTGGGTACAAGCTGTGTTTAACATGCAACTCCTATCTAATTTACCCTACCCATGATCATCATAACATTTGGTCCCCTAAGCCCCCTGGGGATTATACTGCCCTTGACACATTCCTTTCCACCTACAATGATTTTGAAATTCATTTCTAGTGTATGACTTTCTAATGAAATACTTTAGTTGGCTGCGAAGTTAAAAGCTGTGCAGCCCAGACATCTGGCTGACTTACCCTGTCCTTTCCTTTCTTACTACCATAATCCATTTACTTTCAGGTAGCTTTCCTGGATGGAACACTACAACTATGTTCCAGCCAGATGACTTCAACTGGAGCCACTGTGCACCTTGCAGAAAGTGTAGTAATTAATATAATATGTTGGATACCACCCTTTTAATTGTAACAGCCACAGAGAAATGGGAATGTGACAAGATGGGTTTTATCCTACAGAATGCAGTAACCAAGCCTAATCCTGATTCAAGAAATAAGAAAAAATGGATAGATAGCAAGTTCTAAATAAAATGCACCATCAGGGAGAGGGCAGTTCTCTAGGAAATGACTCATAAAGAGAAGCAACAATGCAACTGAGCTTAGCAGTTTCCTCTCCCCACTCTGGATCAGGCTGCAGTTCCCACGGCTCTTTGTACTTGGCTATGAAGTGGGATGAGACCCTGGGGAGGAGAGCTGACTTCTCCATTCTCACTCTCCAGGGTCCTCCTGGTTGACTGAGAAAGGTTAAGTGGATAGTGGTGGCCAGCAGCACGGATGGCTAGGGAAGGCTGGACTGGCACTCTCCCTTAACCGAGATCCCAGGGAGATGTTCAAGGTCCTACCAGAGCTGACTGCCTTTTGGCGTTACTTGAGGCTTGACAGTTGCAAAGTGCAGCCTTTCTGGTCCTCAGCCTAGAGCACTGACTTTAACCTAGGACGATCCAGTATTATCACCTGTTATGATTACAATAGCAAACACCAGTAAGACAAACAGAAGGAAGTCTGGTTTATTTAGAAGTGGTTATAGCCGAATCCACTCTGAGTCACTAAAATGGGGCCAGCTAGCACTTTAAAACAAGTTCTCATGCTTGCACTGTTCTGTGAAGTGGCCCCTTCTGTGGCTGCTGCTTGGACCTCAGGAGCTCCTTCCATAGGCTCTGCTGCAGCTCTGCCAGATACTGTTTATGGGCTGTCTACCTAATGTGACAAGTGTCCTAATACCTTTTGTTTGAGTCTCTACAATTATTACCCTGAGACAGGAGCTAGCTATGTAGCTCAGGCTAGCCCCAAACTCAGGTTCTTCCCATCTTAGCCTCTAGTGCTGGATTACAAACATGCACATCTTTTCCTTAAGACATAGACCTCTAAGTACCATTCTCATATCCAGAGTTACTATAACTCAGGCTCAGAGGTTGATTAACTTTCTCATGAGAGCACAGATAATAAACACGCTCATTAAAATTCCTCTGGGGATATCTTGGCTATCTCTTCCATTAAAAAGACTCCAGGGCACTAGGAACTTTTATTTGCAAGGACAGTCTTCTCTGAAAAAGTGGGGAAGTGGTATGAGGATGCTTAACTGGAGACGCATCATGTCACTCTAGGCCACATTTACACCACCCTCAGAGTATTCCAGTGGCTCATGTCATAATTTGGTACCCGGGGATCTGTCACTGGTGTCAAGCCTGGACCCCCGCCCCCCACTGGAACATTCCCCTAGTGGGCAAGGTGGGCGGTCCTTCACTGGCAGCTTATTCCTTAGGAAATGTGCGACTTTCTTCTGACAAACATTTAAGGACAGTAATCTCCTGCCCACCTTTCCACCTCCCATTTCCTATAGTGTACTGACCTTCATTTCCTGTAGGTGCACTGGGGTTACAGGGAAGTTGTCAGGCCTATGTGGCAAGCATGTTACCCACTGAGCCATCTCTCCAGCCCCATTCAATTCTTTTAAAACACTGTGTTGGAGGGCTGGAGAGATGGCTCAGCAGTTAAGAGCTTGCAGAGGACCTGGGTTTGGTTCCTAGCACCCACATGGTGGTTTGTAACTCCAGTTCCAGGGGATGCAATGCCCTCTTCTGGTCTCTGTGGGCACTGTATGCACACAGGGCACTTACATATATGCAGGCAACACACACACATAGAATAAAAATAAAGAATTTTTTAAAAATTATGTGCTGGGGCTGGGAGGGGGGCATGTGGAGGTTAGAGGACAACTGTCGGGTCAGGTCTTTCTTTCCACCATCTGGACTCCAGGGAGCAAACTCAGATGGTCAGGCTTGTGGCAAGCATCCTACTTACAGAGCTGTTTTGTGGGCTATGATCCAACTCTTAGACGCCAGATTCTAATTCTTCCTGATTTCAACCAAATAGAAGGCCTACCAAATGACTTTCTTTGGAACAAAAGTCATTAATTCTGAGCAAAACTTCTCATCCAAATGTATTATTTTTCCTCAGATACTAAAGTACAAAGACAATAGGCTAAATTTATTTTAAATTATTTTATTTTTGTATAAGCTAAAAGAAAATTTACGCAATGAACTCTCAGACAACCTTGGGCATGCACATTAACCCTGTTAGAGGTTCTTCTACATCTCTCTCTCTTTTCCATAGGAATTTCCCCGAACATTTAAAATCCATAGTTTTCACTGTATATACAGCCTAAACCATAGCAATCTATGATTATGTCATTTTACACTGTGCAAAATCCTCAAAAAAATAGTGGTATGACAGAACAACAACAACAACAACAAATCAGTGACAATTAAATTTCATTAAGACATTCATATAATTTGGTCCTTTTCCAAATGAAGCTAATTTAGAAGAGGCACAATCTTTAACCCATTCCAATCAAATTCCAACAGTGATCCAGACCCCATAACCAGAGAGCAGACCATGATGTTACCTTTGCAGAAGTTCAAACAGCAATATGCCAGATTGAAAAGATTAAAAAAGAGACCAAAGATGTTAACGAAAGCCAGATCTGAAACAAACCCATCACACACAAAATGAAAAATCAAATGGATTCTGGAGCTTTTTACGATAGTAAAAGTAGTCCAACACACGACAGGAAGAAGAGCACGTTCAGAGCATCCACGAAGTACCACGGGGATCTCAGACAGCAGAGATTGGAGGTTTAATTTTCTTTTTTTATTTCAAAAGTTTTTTTTAAAGAAGGACACCACCAGTGTATTCACAAAGACAAAGATGTATACACCCCAGCAACACAAAAAGAGTAAATCTTCAAAAATGGTCATCCCCTGATTATTTACATTTTGTTTCTAATATAAATTTAGGACTTCAGTATGTAAATAAATATACATCATATGTATACCTTTCTAGGGTGGCTTACCAACAAATCAGCTGAACTTGATTTTTTTAATTATAGCAGGTATGCTTTTGATGGTAGGGAAAGGATGGAGGAAAAGTATTTAGAACCGTCCAGTCCAACAGCTGTCAGTCTGTTTGTTCCTGGGAGCTTGTGGAAGGTGTTAAGGTGGCTGGGAACATCAACACCTTGGCATGCATGAATGATAAGTCAGGAAGGCTGGCGATCACCCTGACAGCTTCCTCACTCAGGTGCTCCTCTCTTTTCGGCTTCCTATCAACAAGTGAGAAAAGACAAGCGTGTTAATGGGTGATGTGGGCTAACTGGGAAAAACAGTTCACTCTCAAGATCTGTGGGTAGCAGCCCTAGGTACCTGAGAACCTTTGTTCTGTTAACTGCTGCATGAACAACAGCACATGGTTTGCTTTCCTGTGCTCATTCAATTAGGCACGCACATACAGATACTCACATGAACATATGGATAGCTCAAACCTTTACACATCTACCCAGGCATAATTTTCAAATGTAACTAGGTAAGTACAGTGCTGAAGTCCTGATAATATTCCGCCCAAATGGACTTTCCCCTGCCCTCTGCGAAACTACCAGTTACCTCAATCAACATAAAAGGAGTGGCGAAGGCATGGTAAGTCATTTTAACCTCAGGCTTTCCTCATCCCAGTGGGGAATTCCAGGAGAGAAGGCCCTCAGCCAAGCTGGGTGCGGGCAGCAGCACGAGAGCTGTATGTAGGTGGGACCCAGGGGAGGCAATCTCTAAATCTTACAGGCTATTACCTCACTCCTAGGTGAGCAGTCTGAGCTGATCACAGATAGGCAAAACTCTCAGTGAGCCAGCCTGTCCTACCAGGTAAGCAGAAGGCCATCCAAATGAACAACAAACGTGGCCAGAGCACACAATGCTATCTAAACTACTTTTCCAGGCTGCTAAATACATTTAACGGATAATTATAGCCACACAAATCATACTGACATACAAATTAATTTCAGACCAAAGATCATCTGAAACTGACTACGAAAAGCCCAGTTCTCTTTTATGGTAAATGTATCAGCAGATGGATCAATATTCAACTCAGTTCTAGTACCTAAATGTAGAAATTCTACATTTAAAAAGTTAAATTTGCATCTGAGTTGCACTCAAACAGTAGAACCATTAGACTGACGCTTGAAAAAGTAGATATTGGCAGCATTCCAGCACTCCTCTCTAATCTCAAACGAAACTGTGGAAAAGGCCAACCTTAGTGTCACTGGTAACGCACGCAGTCAGTCAGATGCCAGGTGCCTTCTGCTACGGAGGAAGACCTGCGATGCACTGCAGGCAAGATGTTTACCCTGCATCTGCAAGCCTTTAGACAGAACCCCCAATTTACAGGACGGGGGACTAGAGAACACAGTGAACACCGCTTGATGGAATACTAATAAATACAACTACTGCTACGTGGAGTTGCCCATTTATACAGTATGGTTTGGGCTTGGGAGAAAAAAAGCAAGGAAAATATTTAACCAAAAAAACAACTTGTAAAGATGGATCCTGGGTTTTGTTTTTTTTCCCCCACAGAGGTACTATCTGGAGGCACTATGAAGACATATTTAAAAGTTTTTAAAAGATTTACAATTTATAGTTCGTGCACTTGTCTGCAGACATTTATGTGAGCTATTCTTATTAAAAATGCTTGAGAATTTGAAATGGTTGTATCGCAGCAGTGATCTGATTTGCTCTTCAGTGCCCTCAAAGACTGATTCTTGCAGTAGAATGCAATGGAGGGTCCAGAAAGGAGGCCAGTTCACCTTTTCACCCCAAAACAAACACGTCAAACCTTTCAAAAGGGGAAGAAAGAATGATTTGCTCAAGCAACAGTGCTGGGACAACTAGGCACCAAATCCAGGATGGGATCCCTCCCTCCCTCTCTTCACTATGAACTAAAATTAATTCAAAATGCATTAAAGACCTATACATGTAAGACTTGGAACTGTAAAACTACTAGAAGAAAAGGTATAAAATCTTCCTAACTTTGCTCACACACAAAAAAACCTATATGCAAATGTTCATAGCAACATACTCAGAATAGTTAAAATGTAAAAACAGCTGGCATCTATGTGATTCTAGCCATCTGGAGCTGGGCACAGGAGGATCAGGAGTTCAAGGCCAGTGGGCCTACATGCAACCCTGTTTCAAAATTAACACAAACCAGAAGAAAGGCAAAAACAAATGTTTACTGATTAGGGTGAAACAAAATGTGTTATTTCCAAACAATGGAATATTATGCAGCTAAAAAAGGAATACCAATACTTTGCCATAAAAATGGATAAAACATAATGATAAGTGAAAGAATCTGGACACAAAAGGCCACAAAGCCCAGTGTGGCAGTGCACATCTGTAATCCATGAAGCCCAGTGTGATGGCATACATCTGTAATCCCAGACCTGGCAGGCTGAGGAAGGAGAACGCTGAGTTTAAGGCAAGTCTGAGCTTGCCTGCTTCTCCTTCCCTTCTTCCCCCAACCCCCAACCCCCCACGCTGTGCTGGGGTTCAAACCCAGAGCTGTGTATGCTAAGCATACTCTATCACTAGGCAAAAACTTCAGGAAAATAGGACGTGGTTCTTCCTTTTCAATATATAATTTCTTATATTTTTCTTTTTCTTTTTTTTTTTTAAATACAAGTTGGTTTTTGTGGTTTACGACGTCACCAGTGCCGAGTCCTTTGTCAACGTCAAGCGGTGGCTTCATGAAATCAACCAGAACTGTGATGATGTGTGCCGAATATTAGGTGAGGCTAGATCCCAGGGGTAGGGACAGTGGGAGGGCAGCAGCTGGTGCTTCTTTGGGTGACTGACTGTGCTTTGTCTTAAAGTGGGCAATAAGAACGATGACCCTGAGCGGAAGGTGGTGGAGACAGAGGATGCCTACAAATTTGCAGGGCAGATGGGGATCCAGCTGTTTGAGACCAGTGCCAAGGAGAATGTCAATGTGGAAGAGGTGAGGCCTGGCTGAGCCGAGTGGAGGGGGAGGTGAGGGCCCATGAGCTTTGGCTATACTGTACTGATCCTGTTTCCAGCACAGCCCTCCTCTCTGACTCCTGGCCTGCTCAGGGCATCTGAGTGACCATTTATTTAATGCCTGCTGTTGGTCAGACATTGTGCCAGGTCCTTTAAAAAAATTAAAAATATTTTATTATTTTTATTTTGTGCATATGAGTGTATTGCCTGCATGTATGTGAGTGCACCCATGTCATGCAATGCCGCAGACATCAGAAGTGGGCGTCGGATTCCCCTGGAACTGGAGTTAAGGACCATTCATAGCCACCATGTGGGTGCTGGGAATTGAACCCAGGTCCTCTGCAAGAGCAGTCAGTCCTCTTAACCACTGGGCGATCTCTCCAGCCCCTTGTTTTTGTTTTTTGATAAAGGGTTTCTGACTGGCCTGGAGCTAACTAAGCAGGCAAGGTTGGCTGGCCAGAGAGCACCAGGAATGAGCCTTTCTCTATGTGTTGCATTTTTTGATCTGCTCCATTTCTGACCTGGGTCAGTTCACCCCAACACAGGCAACCTGGTGCTCCCCAACTCTTGGGAGGTCATTATATTGATGCTGAACTTAGTGTGGACTGAAAACAAAAACAAAAAAACCCTCAAACTAAACAACTGTCCTGCCCCACCAGCAATGCACTAGGAAAACATACAGATAGCAGGTTGGCTGCTGGTTGGAATTAGGGGAAGGAGTGATGGCTGATGGGTACAGGGATGTCCGGGACCGAGTATGAGAAGAATTTTCTGAAATTAATGATAGTTGCAAAACATGTGAACAAATTAAAAACCAGTGAATTATATTTTCAAGAAAGGTAGATTTTATATGTGATGTTTTTTAAAAAAATATTTTATTATTTTTCTTTTATATGTATGCATGTATTGCCTGCATGCAGGTAAGTGCACCCATGTTGTGCAATGCCCGCAGTGGTCAGAAGACGCTGTCGGATCCCCTGGGACTGGAGTTACGGACAGTTGTTAGTTGCCATATAGGTGCTGGAATTCGAACCTGGGTCTTCTGCAAGAACAACCAGTGTTCTTAACCTCTGAGCCATCTCTCCAGCCCCTATATGTGAGTTTTTACATCAGTAAAATAGTAAAAACAAAAAGACCGCACAGTATTCCTGCTAACCGCTAGTCCTTATAGACTTAAGTTAGAGGCCATTTTGTGCTATTAGCCAGCCAGCCACCCACTACTTAAATTAGAAAACAACCTTTTCCATATTAGGAAAGGTAAGCAAAAAGATGGAACTATTTTAAAAAGAACTCACATTTCTTTAAAAGACAAAGTGAAGGCTGGTGATGTACCTCAGTCTAGACCTGGCATGTGTAAGGTCTAGGTTCAAACCCCAGAACAGTAGCAGCAAACAAACCAACAAAAAATCCACTTCAGCCAGGCATGGGGGGGCCACACCTGTAGTCCCAGCTACTTGGGAGGCTGAGGCAGGGGTATTGCTTGAGTCCAGGAGTTCTGGGCTGCATGCAGCATGTCATGTGATCTGGTGTCCACACTAGCTTTAGCATCAATGCAGTGACCTCCCAAGAGTGGAGGACCACCAGGTTGCCTATTAGGGTGAATTGGCTCAGGTCAGAAATAGAGGTCAAAACACCCACTACAAAGAAACCAACAAAAAAGTGAGAAATTACAACCTATGTATTGACAAGAGAGGACCACATCATATTTCTTCACATATTCAAAGGATCTTTTGAAGAATGTGTGTGAGGGGCTAGTAAGATAGTTCAGAGGGTAAAGGTGCTTGCCACCAAGCTTATGACCTGAGTTTGATCCCAAAGACCCACATAGTAAAAGGAGAGAATGACTCCTCCAAGATGTCCTCTGACCTCCACATGTACACGGAGGCTGGAGCATACCTCCCCCAATAAATAAATGTCATTTAAAAAGAAGAGAACAGAGAGTGTGAGGTATTGCTTGCTCTACATCAAACTTCGTCCTCTGCTTCAGCTACTGCTTCTTCTTCCTTAGACAGGGTCTAGATGTGTAGCCTAGGCTGATCTTAAATTTGTGATCCTCCTGCCTCAGGCTCCTGAGTGCTAAGATCACAGGCTGCATCAGCACACCCACTTCAACTTCTCTTCTAACCCATTCTGCTCCCACAGTTCCTCACAAAGCTTTACCATTCTACTTTCTGTGCACTGTCAACAGCCAAGAAGATTCTGGCAAGCTTCACTTTCTGTATTTTATTTAATAAAACAAAAAGGAAGCAAGTACTAAAGAGCAAGATGCTGAAAAGCCTTTTGAAGTTATACATGCCACCTGCCTGTCTCTTCTCTGTACAATTAAGAATCCCTCATGGAAGGCTGGGATATACTTGCCTAGCATGCATTAGGCCTTGGGTTTAATCCCCAGCATTGCCAAACAAAATAAAACAACCCCATTTCTGAAAAAACCAAAACAACAAAAATACCTCAAACCACTTATGGTGATATTTTAAATGTTTTATTGTAATTTATTATTTTTATTTTATGTGTATGAGTGTATTGCCTGAATGTGTGTAAATGTATCTGTGTTGTGCTATGTCCATGAAGGTCAGAAGAAGGTGCTGAATGCCACGAAACTGGAGTTACAGACAGTTGTTGGCCACCATGCGAGTGCTGGGAATCGAACCTGAATCCTCTACAAGAGCAGCCAGTGCTTTTAACTGCTGAGCCCTCTCTCCAGCTTCTCATGGTGATATTTCATAGTATAAGATTTTTAAATATTATTATCAGGGATTATGGGTATCTATTTTCACTATTTAAAAATGTTTTTGATTTATTTTTATTTTATGAGTATAAAGGTTTTGTATCATATGCATGCAATGCCCACAGAAGCCAGAGAGGGCATTGGATCATGGAACTGGAGTTACAGACTGCTGTTAGCTGCCATGTTTGTGTTAGGAATTGAACCTGGAATCTCTGTAAGAGCAGCCAGTGCTCTTAACCACTGAGCCATCTCTCCAGCCACAGCTTCTCACTATTTTCTTTTTGTACTTTATTTTTGGGTCTTTTGGACACAGGGTCTCCGTGTAACCGCAGTTGGCCTAGGACTCACTATATAGACCAGGTTGGCCTTTGAATGCACAGAGATCTGCCTGCCCCTGCCTCCCAAGTGCTGGGACTAAAGGCATGCGTCACCATGCCCAGCTAGCATCTCATTATTTTCAAATAACATGTATTCTTCAAAAATGAAATATAAGCTGGGTGTGATGGCGCACCTTTAATCCCAGCACTTGGGAAGCAGAGGCAGGTAAATCTCTGTGAGTTCAAGGTCAGCCTAGTCTACATAGCAAGTTCCAGGGGAGAACCTTGTCTTAAACAAGCTCAAAAAAAAAAAAAAAGGAAAGAAATCCAAAGTTAGCAACTTGTTTTCAATATTAAACTGGGTCTGAGAATGTAGTCCAGTGGTAGAGCGCTTGCCTAGAATGTGCAAGGCCTGAGTTTGCACTCCAGCACCTCAAAAAAAACAAAACAAAAACAAAAGATAAAAATTATTAGAATAGCTCTCTGGCAACTACAGCTTTCCTCCAGAACAAATGCTACATTTTAGTTGATTCTTTTAGTTTAGAAGAAGATGAAGATGAGAGAAAAACTTAAAAGTAGTAAGGGGTTGGAGAATGTAATATATCTCAGGGATGAGTTAAAAAAATGAAGGACCATAGCTAACAGTGTGGTTTAGAGCTCCTCCTACTGGCAGCAAGGATGAGTCCTCATTGCTGGGACTCCAAAATCTAAATCTACTACAGTTTAGATCAGAGAGAGAGAACAGTAGGACTGTCCCAGAAACAAGGTTAAAGTCCAGACAATAAAGGTATCAAGTGTTTGTTTTTACAAATCAAGTACAATGGGGGCTGGAGTGGAGTGGTTAAGAGCACTGACTGCTCTTGCAGAGGACCTGGGGTTTGGTTCCCAGTACCCACATGGCAGCTAACAACTGTCCACAACTCCAGTTCCACGGGAATCTGATGCCCTCTTCTGACCACTGAATGACATGAGTACACTTACATGTAAGTACATTTACATATATGCAGGCAGCATACTCATAGACATAAAATAAAAATAATTTTAAAAAATCAAGCATAAATTCTACAATAACTGCAGTTACAAAAGGCTCGTTTAGTAGGCAGGTTGGCATTACCTGACGGCATACTATGACAACATAGGGCAATGATAGGAATGGAGAGGATCTGTAGACAAAAAGGTCCTACATGCTGTAAATTTATTCTCCAGAAAAGTCAAGGGTATCTACAATTATACACTGAATAACAGCAGCTTTTCAAAATTGTAATAACAGCTGAGTAGACATAAACACACAAGTTTCAAAGACATTGTGATCACCTTTTAGTATTGGGAGGTAGGCAAGTGAATCTCTCTGAAATCGAGGCCAGTCTGGTCTGCATACTGAGTTCTGGACCAGCTGGGGCTATAGGGAGACCCTGTGTCAACACCCCTCCAGACCTCCAAGCCAATAAAAGACATTGTGATTACTTAAACTAACACTGTAAAGAAGAAATGGATTTTCCTCCCCTATGGAAGAATTATATGTGTGTGTGTTTGTTCATTGATTTATTTTTATTTATTTATTGAGACAGGCTCTCCCTGTAGCTCCAGTTGGACTACAACTTGCTATATAGATCAGGCTGGCCTCGAACTTACATTAGTGTACCTGACTGTGCCTCCCAAGTGCTGGGACTAACGGAGTGTGCCACCATGTACCACCTCTTTTTTTTTTTTTTTTTTTTTTTTTGGTTTTTTTGAGACAGGGTCTCCCTGTAGCCCCAGCTGGCTTAGAACTCCCTATGTAGACCAGGTTGGCCTGGAACTTACAGAGACCCACCTCCTCTGCTTCCCTAGTGGTGGGATTAAAGGAGTATGAAACCATGCCTGGCCATGTACCACCTCTTTAAAATGTTGGCGAAGCATGGACTTGGGAAGCAGAGCTGAAATGTTAACTACCTGATATTTGCTCTTGCACTCATGATATTCTGTCCACACTGCCCTTCTACTAGGAACTGACTTATTTTGTTGGTTAACATGTCAAATCATTGGATTATTCTAATGGCTAATTGTGTCAAACTCAAGGTTTCCAGAATCCTAAACACAAGGTCCAAGTGACATCCCTTGTCTCTGGTTCCAACACCAAGAGAGAACTGTCCCTAAACAGACTCCCAGCAAGTGTGGTAAAGGAATGCTTGATATATCAGGATCCGGTGCACCTTAGCAAGAGCTCTGGAAACAAGAAAGGTCTGTGTGTTCTACTTTAGCTTCGGTGACACTAGGAACATGAAACTGCTTCTTGACAATGCTTTTCTCAGTAATTACCAAGGGGGGAATTCTCCTGAGTGGTACAATGATCTCAACACTTAATCAGGTTGTTCTCTACGAAGGGGTGAGGGAGGAAAAGGAAAACCTCATCTGTCAGTCCTTTCCAATAAAGTTCACAACTAAACATGCTTTAATAATATTTTCTGGGCTTAGCCATTTATTATGAAGTCAGTTTAATACACTGAAATACTGTCACTTACATGTTTTTGCCTTTGGTCTGTTTAAAATCAGAATTCAAAGCTGGGTACAATGAAGAGTAGGCATTTACCTGGTAGATGTGCTTGTCTTCTCTACTGTGGACATGAGCTTTGCAAATGCATCAGTCACTCTGAGGCTTGAGGTTGAGACTTCCAGCTTAGCCGTTGTTAATTCATACAACTCGGGATCCACACCTTATAGTATAAAATGACAGTCAGTGATGGCAAGCTGCATGGGTTAGTTAGCAAGCTACAATCCAAGATGCAACAGCAGTATCCATAAACATCTGAGTCTTTCACAGCACCACTCATCTTCAGATTATGTAGCATTTTACTTTGCATTAAAGTTTTATTACTTGTGTGTGTGTGCGCACGCACACGCGTGTGTAACCACAGCGTGCATGTGGAAGCCAGACAACTTTGTGGAGTCAGTTCTCTCCTTCTACCTTTATGTGGGTTCCAGGGATTAAACTCACATTGGCAGGCTTGGTCAGCAAACACCCACTGAGCTATCTCACTGGCTGGCCTTGTGTTTATTTTTAAAATTAAATGCTGGTCTTTGGAGTGTCTATAAAAAAAGAACATAAAAATTCCACTCTGGAATAAATACTTTATGTAACAGATGCTTTAGGAATTTCTATCACTCACTTATGCTACATTACCAGTGTTTTATGTAGAATGAATATGCTTTGTCATGATCCTGTGGCCTAGGCTGGCCTTGGCTCACGGTGATTCCTCTGTCTCAGCTTTCTGAGTGCTGGGATTATAGGCACGAGTCACTGCACCTGGCCTCCAACATGCCCATTTTTTTTCTTTTTTCTTTAAGCCAAGGTCTCCCTGTTGTCCTGGAACTCACTATTGTAGACCAGGCTGACCTTAAACTCAAGAGATCCACCTGCATCTGCCTCCCAGAGTTCTGGGATTAAAAGTGTGTCACCACACCCAGAAACTTCCTCAATTTTTAAAACTGGCCAATGAACCTCATTTTGAAGCTTGCCCTCACCTCACCTGCTCAACCATTTTTATTTTTATTTTTTAAAAATCTCCAGTATTTTCTTCCACACCAAAGGCTTGGAGATTAACAGAAATTCTCTAATGTGGAAAATGATTTGGTTAGTTTAACTATCTTATGACTAAAGGACATGAGCAATTATTCAAAGCATCAAAGTGTAACTAAAAATACACTGCACTGTTATTTCCATCTAAGAGATGGAAAAGGTAAAATGTTTTCAGAAAAAATTGAGTGAGAACACTATTTTTGTACAAAATGAAAGTGCTTATCTCCAGGAGTAAATATAGCTCTATAGTCTAATCTAAATCTTGTAGTTCAAAGACCAGATATCTAGTTATAGTAATTAAAAAGGAAGCTAAGTTAAAGAGTGTTTTATAGCTCCTTCAATCTTTGGCTCTTCTTTCTTCTGAGACAGGGCCACACAATACTGCCCAGGCTGGCCTGAACTCCGGGCTCATGTCACCCTCCTGCCTCCATCAGGACTACAGATGTGCATGAATGTGCTTGGTTTTCTAAGAAAAGGCTACAAGATTAGACAAAAACATAATAAAAGCATGAACAAGTTTTCTCCTTTATTAACAAACTCTGTAGATGACCAATAGATATTTAAGCACAGATCTCAGATGTTTATAGAAATTAAACAAGCAAAAGCAGCTTCCACGATTACACGTCCAACAAGGGAGGGAGGCTATAGAAGATGTATGTTGACTCTCCCAAGTTCTTGATATTTCATTAATGCAGTTTCAAAGTGTATTTCAAAAGATTCTTTCTGTAATAAGTATATGGGTCACAGTTAAAATGTATGAAACTGTAGATGTCTGTATACGGACCAAATGAACCCAAACTACTTCCCTTTTTCACTGTTAAAGGTTAGCTTCCAAGTAACCACAATATTTAAGATGACACATAATGTATAATGCATAATAAACAAGTACATTCTGACTGGCAAAGGAAAGTGCCAGTAAAATCTTGGATGGGTTTATATACTAGCCACTTGGTCAAATAGTAAAGTGGCAGATTGAAGAAGAAGAAAAAAACCCAAAACACCAATAAAAAGTCACCTTTTCAGGGTCGGGCATGGCAATGCATGCCTTTGCTCTCAGTACTCAGGAGGCAGAGGCAGGAGGAACTATCTCTCTAGCCTCAATCACTCCTTCCCTTTCATGAAGGACCCCCAAAACAAGACAAAACAAAAAAACCTGTCTGAAACCCACAATTATGGTTAAAATTTTCAGATACAATTGTCTGCCATACAGTAATAACTGGAGAGTAATTTTTTAATGGAAGATTTTTTAAAAACAGAACTCTAATGAGGCATAGTTCAATTACATAATTAAAGTTAGCCAACCAAGTTCTATGCCAGCCTCCTAAGAATCACACACAAGATAATTAACCGCAAGCTAAGACAGAATGACTTTCCCATAAACAAGTGAGGAAAAGTGTAAACGAGTGGTGAGATGGGATACTAAGGAGGGTGCTGGTACCTGGAGCTTGATGGGAAGTTTAACAAACCCAGCAGCAATAAAAAGAAGTCCAAGCAAATTTATCATGATCAGATTCATACAGCAGCTAGAGCACTGATGGAAATCTCAACAGGAATACTGGAAGGTTCCAAAGTGACGGAGCCTGCCAGGGGCCAGGCTGAGTTCTGAGCCCCTCCACAGGAGCACCTGCTCTTGCAGTGTGCACCCTGAGCTTGCTTACCAGTTCCTCTCTGCACTTCTTTATCTGTGCTCCTATCAATGGTTTTTAAGCAAAATTTCAATCTAAACCAAGTTTCAGATATCCAAAAAAAAAAAAAAAAAAGACCTCATTTGAATGACAGTACAGACTATGACCAAATGAAGCTGAGAGCAAACTGAAACTGGTAACTAATCTTTGTTAAGTTAGTAAAATAAGGAAAATGATTTATAAGGGTTTGGCTTTTCCCTTTTATCCCCATTAGGCATTATGGAATATCAGACTCATTAGATTATTCCATAAATCAGATATATTAAGAAATTTAAATAAATAGTAAAATACCATCTAGAATTCCACCAGATACAGAGTGGTCTTTCATATGCTTGCAAAAATCTTGAAAACAATGAAAATGAAAACTAGGGGCTTAGATCTGAGAAATCTGTCATTCTAATCCCAGAGCCCTGTGAGGCTTCCCTGTAGCAGGATCAGATCTCCCTAGCCAGATGTAGAGAAGGGCATCCTGGGCCCAGGCCTGCCCTTAGCTGGCTTTGTTACTCCTCCACACATCATCACGGTTCATAAATGGTTGGAAGTGAGTGGCTGGGTTCTCAGGAACCCAGACTGGCTATGAAATGGCCCACTAGTGGACACAGAAGGGAATCCTGGCTACGCATTCCAGGCAGCATTGACACAGCACCCCAGTGGTTGCCTCATGACCAACGGGCATGATTACCAGATCACAACTTGGGATAACAGGGACTCATTAAAATCATATCCAATAAAATGCAAACATAAAAGTGCCAATATAATTTTAATCTTTTATTCAGTTGGAAAATGACAAAGTACATTAGTCCTTTGATCAATGAACTGAACTTTTGTAGGGCTGAACATTAACAGGCATTCCAGTAAGTTTTAATGTCTAGCCTTTAGTTATCTCACAGCAATTACTTTCTACTATTAACATGTTTTTAACTCCATGGAAACTAAAAGTATGTTTTCTATTTAAGAGTCACATAAAAACAGTAATCATTCTATGTGAGACTATATAACTAACTACATGCTAGACTCCAACATTTTGGAATCAATTATATATTTAGCAGCACTAATAAGCAACTAATTAAAATGCTAGAATTTGTAAAAGTTACATTTTTACAGGCATAACAATCTGAAGTCACCTTTGTGTACTAAAATATTCTTCTATCTCTAAACTAGTTCCCCCCCCCCAATGGCTTTATAGCATATGCTTTAAAAATAAGCATATAAATACATTTTCCCCTTAGAGGGGTGGAAAAAAAAAGTCCCATCTTTAACCGTCTAGGGACAGTAGGGCTATAGTATCCTAGAAACCATTGTTAGCTTTCAATATTACCCTCTGAGAAGGTTTTTTTAAAAAATATATTTTACATAGATTGTAGTCAGATACTAGAAAATAAAACAGATGAAAGAAACGTACTAGAAAGAGAATGCAATCAACATTTTCCTTGTTTATAGGAAAGTCAAGTGTGGTCATGCTTTTAGTGAATTAATTAGAATTGTGGTTTTAACACTCTGCTGACCTGGGATTGTGGTGCTGCTGCTAGAGCTACTGTCATCCACGGGCCCAAAGAAATCAAGGTTCAGAAGAGTGGAACCTCCACTAGCTTGAAATTCAGTGACCGTGTTGGTAGGCAGCCACACAGAAGGTAAGCCAAGGGAGGAGGGGTTATGTGTAAAAAGGGGTAAGACACACACTTGAACATGCAGGTTATAATTAGTATCATTACACATCTTAAAAAAATCAACATTAAAACAATGTGTACAGTATTAGTTTTTCATTACTAAGGACATTTCTAGTAACAATTTAACTTCATGTACATATTCTCATGTACAATTTAAGAATGTAACACTTTGTTAGGTTTTAGTTAGAAGTTCAGTTCTTTCTGTAAAAACTGAAAAGCCGTATCAGAAAGAACGAGGGAAAGGCATACTCATTAAAGGGAAACAATACTTTAATCTCAACCCAACATTAAATCAGTACATGCCCCAAACAATGTCGCGTTAGCAATGTTGGCTTCTACTTAATGCTTTTTTGAAAGAATGACAAAGCTGTCAGTTTCAGAACAGGTACCAACACATTAACTTAAGTAACATAAGAGTGTTACAAGGGCCGATCCTGATGTGCAAGCGGTACTGTTCCCCTTTAACTCTGCAGCAAAAATCAGAAATAGTATACATTTTTTTAAAGAAGTTGTTAATAAAAAGCACGATGGTTTGACTGAAGACACTAGACAACAGCAAAAGGTGCATCCAGGCTTTCCTTCAGCACTATGTAAGTCAATTGGTGATTCCCAGATGTCCTAGGACCCAAGCTACAGGCAAGCTCCATAGCCACTGCCACTGCGGCAATGGGTACTCTAGATAACCAGCTTCAACAACTTCAGAAGCACAGGAGAGGCAGCAATTATATCGCAGGGTCCCTGAAAACCTACTGTATGAACCTGAGCAGCTAGCACTGCATGTTATTTTAAAGACCCTGCATAAATCACTTTTTCAGGATTTTAAATTAATAAGCAAAACCAACGATCTCTGGAACTGATCTGCTAGCACTTGTAGATAAGTTTTAAAAAATAATCATGAAAACCATTTTCCATTTGCATAAAAGTACTCTACAAAATGTTATTAAAGCTGCAAACTACTTGAGCCAATAAATACAGATCTATCTGCACACTGCTTTTGGTTAAGTAAATGATTGTGCTTTATGCTTTGAAGCAGCCTCCAGCCACAAGACTTTCTATCCAAGAAAATTCCATAAAGTAAAACTAAAAATAAATAAATATATCCTAGCTAAAATATCATTTAAACTATCTAATCCTGACTTAAGATAAAGAAACTAAAACTTTACCTTGTTATTACTACCAGTATTTGAACATTAATACTGTTGGTAATAGTAACGGCTGGTTTCTCAAGTGATTACCGTTCAGAAAGAAAGCCTGAATTTCCAAAGATAAGAGTAAGAAGTTACGTTTAAACAAAAAAGGAACTCAGCAGAGAGAAGTCTGTCTGAACTGTGCAGCTTTCTTAGCTCTAGCTCTGGTGCTAGAGACTCTACGGAGAGACGTACCATCTAAGGGGTTAGTAAGGCCACTGCTACTCCAGTCAAACTGGACGGGTGGTAGAGACTCCTAGAGTGGAGAACCAAAAGGCAAAATTCATCAGTACAGGTTGTAGCAATGTAAGGAATCCTCAAAACAAAACAAAACAAAAATGGTTACTAGACCACGGCAACAATGTACCTACAGGTTACCTGAAAACATTAACACAAACTGATATTGCATTGGCATTAAAATTGGCACCTAACAAATGGAGCTACCTTTAAATTTTCAAACAAATTTATGGACTGATTCTATTTCAATATTTCTCAATTCATGCTTTAAATGGTTAGATTTATTACACTTTTCCAAAAATATAGCAATTAAATTTATTTTAAAAACTAGTCATGTGACATTAACAGATAAAATACAATGCAACAGAGAAGGTACTGTACAAAAGTAAGGTTTGAATTGTTTATGATGAGAGTAACCACTAAATAATCAGCTGTATGATCTTCTGATAATTAATTTAGTTGTCTCCTACATATAAAACCAGAAAGTGCAAAGTCCAAAGTCTCTAGTTCTTTACAAGTTTCCCAAGTTCAAAAGAAACTGTGGGCCAATAAATAGGATACACATTTTTTCCAAGTATTGATTTTTAGGTATTTAATTCTTTCTATCTATCTATCTATCTATCTATCTATCTATCTATCTATCTATCTATCTATCTATCTATCTATCTATCTATCGAGAGGTATGCACATGTGTTGGGGAGGATATACTGGGTGTTCTGCTGTCACTCTCCACCTCATTCCTTTGAGACAGGGTCTCTCACTGAACATGGATCTAGGCTGCAGGTTACCAACTGCAGTGATCTTCCTGTCTCTTCTCTGCACAGCACTGGGGTCCTAGTGACATAAGTAGACAGACATCTGTCTAGGTTCTGGGAATTCAAACTCAGGTCCTCATAGCTTGCACATGCAAGCACTCTTACCTACTGAGCTATCTCCCCAGTCCAATTAATGTTTTTGAGACAGGGTCTTGTGTGTTAAGGCTGGTCCCAAACCTCTGATCCTCTTGCTTCAGACTTAAATAGTTAGATTACAGGCATGTAGGTGTGCGCCACCATATCTGGTCAGGTATTTCTTTTCATTAAGTTCTCTGACTTAGAAATTGGTTGAAATCCAATAGTAGACTGTATTTATTTATTTATTTATTTATTTATTTATTTATTTATTTGAGACAAAGTCTTGATGTTGTTCAGGCTGATTTTGAACTTGTATCTCTCCTGCTCAGCCGTCCAGATGCAGGCATTACATGCACTCTGATACCTGGAGAGAATTTTTGAAAGAATGCACTAAAAACGATTCTCAGAACTGATTATTCTAGGTTTTAAAATTTCATAGCATAAAAGTAAAATGGGAAGCCACGTCACTGTCAGAATGGTTTTTAGGGGAGCTGCTTTTCCTCCCTTTCCATTTTTTCCTTTGTTGCCAATGTTGACAACACTTAAGGAAATAACCTGCATCTCACTGGATCTGATTTAAATACCGGCTTTATATTCTGGGGGTATTGCTAACACTAGTCTACTGTAAGGAGGCCCCATCATAACAACATACTCACTTTTTTTCTGGGTAAAGACACTATTTCATGTAGGAGAGAAACATGAATTAGTTCTTTTGGGAAGTCTAATATTATGATGTAAACAATTGTTTTGGTAAAATAGGGGTATCAATGATAGGCAGATTAAAATAAGCACTTAATCTCCCCAAATCAAGTACGGCCTGCTGAGGAGGAAGGAGTTAAAGCAAGTACAATGCTAACACTAGGAAGTTCCAGGGGCAACAGACGGTGGTACAGAAGGGAGTGACTAGAAAGCAGTCTTTGTTCTGGGTCTGTGTTGTTATGACACCCCCAAGCCCGAACCCAGGGCTTGACACTTGCTGAGCTAAGGGACACCACCTAAAGGAGTTCTTTGTGCTGATAGAGATCTGTATGTTGACTGTGGTGGTGGCTACCTGAACAGAATCATGTGATAAAGTGATATAGAACTATACAAATTACATTCTATCATATCTTGCTTCTGATTTTCACCACCATGAGGGTGTGCAGGTAAAGGCAGTTCGGACTTTTCTTGTTCTACTTTTGCAGTATCTTAGAAATCTGTTACTAGTTCAGGTAAGTTAAAAAATAATACTGGAAGCCAGGTGTGGTTGTGCATGCCTTTAATTTCAGCACTTCGGAGGCAGAGGCAGGCAGGTCTCCATGAGATTGAGGTTACACTGGTCTACATAATGAGTTCCAGGCCAGCTGGGGCTACAGGGAGACTCTGTCTCAAAAAGATAAAAAAGGAGCTGGAGAGGTGGCTCAGCAGTCAAGAGCACTGGCTGCTATGGAAGAGGACCCATGTTCTGTTCCCAGCATCTACAATGGCAGCTAACAACCATCCATTACTCCAGTTCCAGGGAATCCACACCTCTTCTGACTTCCATAGGCATTGCACGACACAGGTGCACTTACCTACATGCAGGCAATACACGCATACACATAAAATAAAAAATAATAAATAAAATTAAAAAAAGAAATATTTAAATAAAGAATTTCAGCTTCTCATAGACGGTCATGGCATTTTGAGGACATTCAAAATTATGAGGCAGTAAACATGAATCAGCATTTAGTGGAAAAGAAGATGAAAAACAGAATACCTAAACAAAAAGAAAGCTAACTATAATGACTTCACAAGTAAAGCAACTCAAAGACACAATGTGCTGTGAGCGATTCCTGAGAGACAAAAGCACTGGAGGTTCTGGCAAAGGAGGCTGGGTTGGTTTCACTGTGTCGAAGTAAATCACTTAGCTTTCCCAAGTATGTTTTCTTACTAAAAAAGGGATACATGGTATGAAATAATGTTTTTTTTCCTAGTTTTAAAATTCGGATTCGTGGCTGAAATGGCTACATAAAACAGAGACCTGAGAAGCTGCTGGTGCGACTAGCTGGGTAACTGCCAGTGAAGAGTTGATGCTGCTGCTATGGAAGTGTGAGATCAGGCCCCCAAAAAATGCTGTTTTGTCTCCCACCAAGGTACTTTTAGCTTTTGGTTTTGGCTTTGTTTTTTAATCTACTGGATTTGGGGTCTCATGGTGCCGTTACTGATTTCCCTCTCAGTAAGAACTTGGACTTAAGATCTACCTGTCTCAGATTTCCAAGTGCTGGGATCAGAGATGTGTGTCACTACACCAGGCTACTAAGCTTTGAAATTTCTTAACAGATGCAATGGAGAGCCAGGGGTGGTGGTGCATGCGTTTAGTCCCAGCACTTGGGAGACAGAGGCAGGCAGCTCTCTGCGCCTTTGACGCCAGACTGATCAACATAATGAGTTCCAGCCTAGCCAAAGCTACATAGTGAGATCCTGACTAATCAATCAAGACAACAGCAACAATAAAGAGAGGCAATAATTATAAGACTGACAAATCTAAGCCAATTTGAGGAAAAAAACAAAAACAAAAACCCAAAACAAAACTCAACAGGTATGTAAACTGGGACAGAGTAGGCAGACCCCCAAAAATTATGCATGGTAAAAACTAGTGGCAAGAAATAAATACCATTTTCTACAAAGAAAATCTTTATAATGTACTTGAGATGTTTATTTTAACCTGAACCAGAGGTACGGAGCCAAGTAATGACTGTGTAATTCAGTGATAGCAGTCAGGCAACTCAGCACTAAATTAAAATAGACATATTTTACTGTGCCACCTGGCATATGCTTTTACTTAAGTCTAAATTAAATTATATAAGAAGGATAAGATTTAGGGGCAAAATGACAAACAATAGCTAACTCCAATGAAATAAGCAATAGTTATGGCACTGAGTATGTGGAAGTTAGTTGGGTGAAGGAAGAAGAAAAACTAGCAATAAACATCTCAACAAGAAAGTCTACCAAGTAGTTAATTTTTAAATACCCAATGCTGTGGAAATGAGAATGCTGACAAGGTAGAAGAAAGAATGTGCTGTGGGCAAGAGGACTTTGGAAGCTGCATTGACAGAGCAGGCCTGTGAGAGCAGCTGAATGAACAGCCAGTGTAGTGCAGACAAAGGAAGGAAGGAAACTGAAGACAGACCCCACCTACCAAGCCATGCTACCCAACCATCAACAAAGCCAGGCAGTGTACACACCAAGCTCGGTTGCCTACTAATTCTGAGCCAGCAACAATCTGGCTTCAAAGTGAAGTATAAACCAAACCCAAGAATAAACCTTAGTGGTACACAGCAATGTCTCTTGAAACACACTTAAAAAAGGTTGGACCTATGTTTTATACATCATTGTCTAAAGCATGTTCTTCAAACGCTAGTTCCACAAGTTATACTTCTCTGCTCCCCTGACCCCTACAAAATGGGTCCTGTGGTCAAGTAAATTTAAGAAATGAATTAAAATTAAACAGGAATATTTACCGTGGGACTCTTCAGGGTGCTGAATATGTGTGTTGTGAATCTCCAAGGGTGACTGACTATGAGGGTATAATATCTTTCCCAAATTTTACCCCAGAACATTGTTTGAGTGGATCAATACTATGGAACACATACATTTGTGTGTTAGATATAGCTGATAATACTTAAGTTTTAATAAATGACACAAATGGGAAGAACTTGTTTTAGAAACAGTATGTTCTAATTTTTATTTTATGTTCTAAAATCTAGAACAATAATGTTCATTTAAAAATACTTCTAAAAAATAATGTTTATCCAGCGCTGAAATCATTTATAATTTGGCATGGGACGAATAAACAACTCAAATAGACCATTTTCACTAGATAAAAAGTGAGAAGACTTTAATATGAAACATATTGGACTGAAATATAAAATTTGTGCTTAAATGTGCTAAAGAGGTCCAGGATAATAAATGTAGGCCAGCTTTTGTTGCTTTCTAAAACTTTATAGGATTTCAGGAAAAATATAGCAGATGAGATTTTTTTTTTTTTTTAAATAACTAGAGACTAAGGCTTGGTGTAAAAACCTACCCATAATCACCGCATTCTCAAATTGTATCTTTATATTTTTGAAAATTGCAGATAATTGCTCATAGCTTAAGGATGTTAATTAACAATCAAAGCCATGTCCATCATCAAGTTTTAAAAATACAAAGCTAATGGGGCTGGAGAGATGGCTCAGTGGTTGGGAGCACTGGCTGCTCTTAAGGAGGACCTGGGTTCGGTTCCTAGCACCCACATGGTGGCTAGCAAATACCTGTTAACTCCAGTTCCAGGGAATCTGATGCCTTTTTCTGACCTCTGCGGGCACTACCTGACATGGGTGTACTTACATACATGCAGGCAATATAACTCATTCACATAAAATGAAAGCAATATTTTTAAAAATACAAAGCTAACAGATCTATTAGGGGAAATAAACTGGTATGTATGATCATGTGCTACATGCACAATCACCTACACACATGAGTATTTTTACCTGGAATTGATCAGATGTACATGTGGTCATCTCTGCTGTCAAGGTGCTTGTCTGACCAATGGAAGCGATTTTTTCTGCAGCAGACAGTGGTTTCAATGGTTCCTTGGTGGGTTCTAACATACCCTGAAAAAAGTCATTTAATTGGAGAAGGATCAATGTATAAACTTTATTAATGGTCATCAAAGAGAAAAAAAGACATTTTCCAAGTACAAAGACAGTATTTTAGAATCAAAAATTTTGAAATAATACCGTGCATTTTAAATAGATTTATTTAGTTAGTTATTAGTTATTAATATTTAGTTAGTTATTTAATGTGTACTAGTGCATTGCCTGCATGTAGGTAGGTGCACCCATGACGTAAAAATGCCCACAGAGGTCAGAAAAGGGCTTGGGATCCCCTGGAACTGGAGTTACTGACAGTTGTTAGGCACTATGTGGGTGCTGGACTCAAGCCTGAGTCCTCTGTAAGAGCAGCCAGTGCTCTTAACCTTTGAGTCATCTCTCCAGTCCCACATTTTAAATAGATTTTTAAAACAACCGAGGTACTACTTTATAATGTTTAAGACACTAAAGCTGTAGGAAAGGGCATCTTTCTACAGTGGTGGTACCTGGAGTCACGATTTGAATCTGAGCTGGTCTCAATACTTAGATCCTGGGTCTGGCAAAGAGACTGCCATTTCAGAAAGGAAACACACTCTACATATTCCACTGGATTTGTGACTAATCAGTTTTTTTTCCCCCTCAGGATTTATTTATTTTATTTTATGTGTATCAGTGTTTTGCCTGCATGTATGTAAGTATACCATGTGCATATAATGCCCACAGAGCCTAGAAGAGGGTATTAGATTCCCTGGTACTGGAGTTACAGATGGTTGTTAACTGCCATGTGGGTGCTGGGAACTGAACCCAGGTCTTCTGGAAGGGCAGCCAGTGCTCTTAACCCCTGAGCCACCTCTCCAGCCTCCCTGCAACACTTTTAAAGTAAAAACTTAAAACATTTAAGGATGGGTATAGAGACTGGATGAAAATCACCACTTGGTATCAAAGTTCTACCAAACACAAAATGGATAATTCGGGCTAATGGCTTAAAAAAAAAGCAAAGCTTTCACATATTCTAAAATAGTAGCTGAGGACAAAGGTGGAGTGATTGCCTATGCTGCAAACCAACCAAACCAACCAAACAACTTGGTAAGTTCTTGAATATTTACCAAAGTTTATATCCCAGACAAAAGTCACCCTTAACTGGGGGATCAAAGTTGTTAAGTTAGCAATGTTAGAATCTGTAAATTTCTAAAAATACATTTTTTTTTAAAGAAAGAACCCCTACTCCCATGGAAGGAGACATAAGCCAATAAAAGCAATTTAGAGACTCAATTCATATAGTAAGATGAAAGATGAAAAGATGAAAATGAATTCCTGGTCTAATTCAACACAGGTTCTTTAGTGGACTCTTAAGAAAGGAGAAAATACATTTGGCAATTATTAGTGTCAGCCAATTTAAAAAAATTTTGTTTGAAAATGTCACACAACGTACTTTGATCATATTCAGACCCCCTCCCCATCTCCACCCCACCCTACAACCTTCCACCCTGACTTCATGCTTTTGTTTTTGTGAGACAGGGCCTCCCTGAAGCCCCAGCTAGCCTGAAACTAGCTTAGACCAGGCTAACCCCAATCTCTCATAGAGATCTGCCTGCTTCTGCCTCCCAAGTGCTGGGATTAAAGGTGTGCCCCACCCTAGCCAAATTTTTAAATTTAAACTATGACTTAAATCAGTGGTGCTCAAATTCTCAGACGCTAAAAATTTCCTGGTCCTATTCCTCTAGATGAAATAAGATTACTGAATATCTCATGTTAAATGCATCACAGAAAAGGTATAATTAAACTTTGATATTATAAGATATCACATGGGCTCAGTAGATAAACTAGTGGTCTTATAAACAAGAGGACCCTGAACTCAAAATCCCCAGGATCCCATGCAAAAAAAGTTGGGCATGGGGCTGGGAAGATGGCTCAAGTGGTTAAGAGCTCCTAGGGCTCATGTAGAGGAGTGAGTTCAATTCCCAGCATCCATGCCAGGTGGCTCACAACCACCTATAACTCCATCTCCAAGGGATCTAATGCCTCCAGCCTCTGTGAGCACAGACACTGGCATGGGCATGGGCACGGGCACAGGCATGATTTTTTAAAAATCCTTTAAAATAAAAAGCTGGGTGTGGTAGCAAGACCTTATAATCTCAATGCTGGGAAGGTGGAGACAGACAGACGCATAAAATATGCACCCCACCCCCACAATGCATGAAGGGAAGAAACCATAAAGATGGAAGTGGGAAGAACCTAAAAAATGGTTAAATTTTTACTAATAAAGGTGACAGAGTCAAAATCTCAGAGAGCCAGCTAATGTGCTGAGGCTGCACATGTAGGCCACAGTTGGCACGCCAAACTTCTACAAATCAAACTCCTAGTTCCTACTCTGATCAAGAAACTACCAACCACCTCTGGAGCGCCCCTCCTTGGAACAAAATGAAATCCAAATAACAAGTTAAAGAATGTTCTGGATGATATTTACCTAGAAAAGCATACAAGATAAATAGGGGCAAAAACTGTTAAGAAAACTTGGGTGCAGAAAAGAAAATTTTGCAAAACGGAACTGCAAAAATAAATCTAGATGTTCCAATTCAATGCCAATAAAATTAGTGATTATGAAAAAAAATTGTAGATTAAAAGAATCAAGTTGCACTGCAAACTTTTCCATATGGGCGACAGAATTTACATTTATTTATAGTTCCTTATTTTTTCTTTCATTCTTTGTTTTGAGAAAGGGTATAAAATAGCCCAGGCTGGCCTTGAACTCCTGATCCTCTGTCCTCCACCTATAGTGCTAGGATTACAAGCATGTGCCACCATACCCAGTTTTCTTTCCTTTTTTAAACAGACACATTTTCCTTTAATTTCAAGCTATTGGTTATAATAACATGACATTTTTAGTTAAGCAGACAGGACATTTTTATTCACCAATAACTCATCAAAAAACCCTAAAAACATCAAACTTTAAAGGTGACTGAGGGACTGGGAAGATGGCTCAGTGGTTAAATGTGTTTAATGTGCAGGCTGAGGACCTGAATTCAAATCCTTAGCCCCCACATACAAAGCTGGGCATAGCTGCTTATTCTGTAACCGAGCTTTATGGGGGCTGTACACAGGGGGATTGCTGGGTGAGACATCTGTCTTAAAGGAATAAAGTAGAGAGTGGCCGAGCAGGACACCTGACATCCTCCTCTAGTCTCTGTGCATCTGCATACAAATGAGCATATATCACACATATATACACTATATAACATAAAATGTCCCTCCCATCCCCACAAAGATACAAAATGTGACTGAGTCTTGATAAAGACTAAAATGAAAATGCCTGTTTTCTAGGACTACCTGGTATATCTGGAAAAACAAAATTTAAGACATTTAAAATATATTAATAGAATGTCTAAGGACATTTGAATGAGAATGCCCCCCATAGGCTCCAAGTATTCGAACATTTTGTCCCCAGTTGGTGGTGGTGTTTTGGGAGGTCTTGGAGGGTGTGGCCATGTTGGAGGAAGCATGTCACTGGGAACAGGCTTAGAGAGTTCTTAAGCCTTGCTGGATTTCCAGTCACTCTGCTTCCTGTGCCTGCTTGAAAATGTGAGAGCTTAGCTTACTACTCCAGCCACCTCTGCCCATCCCTTCCCACCATGATGGACTCTTGCCCCCTTAAAACTGTAAGCCAAATAAACTCTAAGTTCTCTTGTTTATGGTGTTTCTATCACAGCAACAGAAAAGTGACTAATACAGATGAATTAAAGGTCCTGGTTCATTTCCATTTACTACAATTTGATATTCTCAAGCTTTTATGGCCATCCATAGCCTCAATGCTACATTATTTTAAATTAGTAACTGGCTTAAAATGTATTTCTAAGACTTTGTGCACTTTAGTGTCCTTTTTTTCTTTTTAAGTTTAGAAAAGACAAGTTAGGGAGAAGACTCAATTTTAGTGCTTGCCTTGTAAGAGTGAGAATCAGTATTCTGGTCCCCAGCACCCAAGTGAATGTGGGAAGTTGTAGTGGCCTGCCTTTAATTCCAGCATTTGGGAGGCAGAGATGTGATCCTTAGATCAAGCTGGCTAGCTAGATGACCTGGAGAACTCTGGCTTCAAGTGAGAGACCCTGCCTCGATATTTAAGGTGGAAAGTAATTGAGGATACCTAACTTCAATGTCTGGCCTCCACATGCACATGTACACAAATGCACCCCCCATATGGCCCACAAACATGCAAACAGGCACGCATACATGCACACACACACACACAACATATACAAAAAAAACCTATCAAAAGTACATTTTAGAGTTAAGCACTAATATTATGATAAAATAATTTTCTTTTTAAAAAAAATTTATTTTATGTATATGAGTGTATTGCCTGGATGTATGTGAGTGCACCGTGTCATGCAATGCAATGCTCTGACGGTCAGAAGAGGGCACTGGATTCCCCTGGAATTAAGGATGGTTAATCCTTAACTGGAGTTAAGGATGGTTCATAGCTGCCATGTGGGTGCTGGGAATCAAACCCCGTTCCTCTGCAAGTGCAGTCAGTGCTCTTAACTGCTGAGCCATCTCTCCAGCCCTGATAAATAATTTTCAACTTAAGCCAGGCGTGGTGGTGCCCGCCTTTAATCCCAGCACTTGGGAGGCAGATCTCTGTGAGTTCAAGGCCAGCCTGGTCTACATAGTGAGTTCCAGGACAGCTGGGGCTACAGGGAGACCCTGTCTCAAAAAGACCAAAAAAAAAAAAAAGAAAAGATTTCAATTTAATACAATATGATCTGTAATTAATGGAATATAAAAATGTCCTGAGATAAAGACATGATCGTTTAAATAAAAATGTTTATTATTTAAAACATGTGCTCCTAAGATTGCAACACCAAATCTTTCACTTTTTTTTGGTCTTTTTGAGACAGGGTCTCCCTGTATCTTTCACTTTAAAAAAAGATTTATTTTTAATGTGTGTTTATGTGTGTGTACATGTACGTGTACAGGTGCTCACAGAGGCGGCCAGAAGAGGGTATGGGGAACTGAATTCTGGTCCTCTGGAAGAATTGGAAATCCTCTTAACTGCTGAATCATCTCCCCAGTTCCAATTTTTTGAGACAGGGTCTCTCTGTCACAGGCTGGTGCAGAACTCACTACAGCCTGACTAGCCTCAAACTTGTATCCATCCTCCTGTCTCAGCCTTCCAAGAGCTGAGATAACAGGTGTAAGACATCATACTCAGCTTTCAAATGCCTCTTAAAATACACTTTTCTGGCATGCCATATAAGAGGATTTACAGAAGAAATGTAGTCATGACACACAATGCGGCGGTATTCAGTACTTACCAATCCTGCTGCATACATGGGTACTATAACAGGTTGCTTCTTATTGCCGGTGAACAGCTATACATGTATTAGAGAAAAAAAATGCATTTAGATATGCACATAAATGAATGATGAACTGAATAAACTGTATTCTCCTAAGGGTTTGTATCTTATTTCCCAGTCCAATCCTTTCATTTTATAGTCAAAGAAAAACACTAAAATTTTTCCACAAATAAGAAATAATGCTCGGAGAAACATTTAGGTAGCTTGGTGTTTAAAAATTGGCATATTCAAGGTAAGTGTTCATTTAAGTCAACTATTTTTCTAAAAAACTAGGTTACCACGGCTTGAACAGGAAGACAGTAAGATTTAAAAGACATAAAGGTTGATTAAAGGATTTTTCAAGATCCTAACAAACTCACAATGTTTCGAGTGTCTATTCCCAAGGAGCACAAAAGCTTCTTGTTGCTATGGGAGCCGCCCCATTGATATCTCAAGCCATGTGCATCATGGATATCCTGCAGTTCCGTCCACACATCCAGCAGTTCACTGTAAAGGCCACGATGAAGCCAAGAGGTTACTCAAGAGCTTTCACCATGAATTCTACCTTCAATATGATGACGTGTTATGCATTCCACCTAATCTTGCATCTAACATAAAGGCACAAGTGTTATCTGAGTGAAATCAAGAACTAACACTAACAGTCATTAAAAAGGTAAATTCATATGAAGGACTATATTCAAGAAATTGAGTAGAAATTAGCTTGTCCTTTTTTATTATAAAAGAAAAACATCCCAAGAGTGGTGGGGCACACCCTTAATCCCAGCATTTGGGAGGCAGAGGTAGGTGGATCTCTGTGAGTTCCAGGCCAGCCAGTGGTAACCACAGAAACACCCTGTCTCAAAAAGACCAAAAGAAGGGAAAAAAAGAAAAAGAAAAAGAAAAAGAAAAAGAAAAACATTTAAGAGCTTGGAATATAGCTTATTTGATTGAATGTTTTCCTGAGCATGCTAGGTTCTGTCCCCAGCACTGCAAAAACTGACCAGGGTAGTGCAGGCCTGTAATCCCAACATTCAGTAGGTAAAAGATCATCCTTGGCTACATAGTGAGTTTGAGGCCAATGTGAGATACATGAAGCACTGTCTCAAAAACAAAACAACAACAACAAAAAAGAGTAAAACATTTAAAAGAAAAAAAGAAATCACTTGGCACCACCCCATATTAATATAGGTACTCAACATTTGTGTTTTCTTCTTGAGTCTATTTTTGTGGTTTGAGGTTGAGGCAGGGTCTCACTATGTAGCTCAGGCCTAGCCTCAAACTCATGATCCTCCTGCCTTGGCCTCTAAAGTGCTAGAGTAAAAGGTGCTTGAGCCTGGAGTCACAAACACGGGTGCAATATACATATGTATATATAGTTTTTCTTTTTCAGATTTTTCATTTCCTGGTCTGCATAGGTACAGTAATCCCTCTCCCCCAATCAGTCACTGCCATTTTTCATTCCAGTTTCAGTTATTGGTGTTCAACTATGGTCTGAAAATATCAAATGGAAAATTCTAGTAATAAACAATTCATTTTTTAAATGTGGCACTCTTCTGAGTATTTATCTCATTTAAACTCAACACACATACTGTACTGTCTCACATCATCACAGATTCAATGTTAGTGCAGTATAATAGGGTGTTCTGAGAGAGATCATGTTCACATAACTTTATTTCAGACTAATTTTCTATCTTACTAGTTATGGCTTACAGTCTCTTACTATGTCTAATTTATAAGTGAAACTTTATGGACACAGAAAAAAAAAAACCACAGTATATTTAGAGATCAGCATTTTTTTTTCAAAATTTTAGGCAACCTAGGGAATTTGGCACACATACCGTCTTTTCCATGACTGCATAATGCTCTGTTAAGTAGATGCACTGTCACACCTACAGCTGATACCTACAGCTGTCAGTAAGTTGCTTTTACTATTTGGTTCCTATTATTAGGATGGTGATTACCATCTCTTGGTATTTTATAGTACTGCTATACTGTAAATTTCTTCAAAAGAGACTTGTACCCTTTCTTCTTAGAAATCACCCCAAAACAAAAAAGAAAAACACAATCTCAGTCTTCAGTGAAATCAAGACAGATGGAAGCCTGTACCGGAAATACTGAGGCCACAAAGAGGAACAAACAAGCAGTGAGTGATTTAGCTACATGGAAGAGAGGGAGAACTTCAGCAGAAAAGGATGCTTCTACATGCAGAGTGATAAAAACAACAGCCTAGAGTAACTCGGAAGTTGAAATTAGAAAAATCAATTTATGGACTCTGTAATATTCAACAAGTAACAGGAATTCCAGAAAGGGAAAACAGAGGTGAAGGAGAGAAGGTAATAAAGGTAAAACTATTAAAGAAATGTTGACTACTGAAGGACAAGCCACCAGAGTGAATGGTCTAACCTGTGATCAGTAGAGTGAATGGTCTAAGCTAGTGATCAGTGGAGTGCGTGAAAAGACCCAATGAAGATAATTCATTGTGAAATTTCAGATGAACAACAAAAGTCATAGATTATAAATTCAATGTTTGAATAAAGTAAAATTCTAACTCTTATGCACTTTCCTCTCAAGAGGCTATGAGAAGATGTTTTCCACCAAAATGGGATATCAAGGAAGTCTTAAGATGACACAGGTATAAAAGGGCTAAACCATTCTAGACAGGAAGAAGACAACAAGGGTTTGCACAAAGGGAGGGGACAGCCTGATAGGTTTGATCACAAGTAAAACGGTTTGAACAGGCTCTTAGGGAACAGGAAAAAAATAGTAAAGAAAGAGCTCAATACAGATTTTTAGACTGAATAACCCTCATCTGAAAGGTTTCAGAGTATTTTGAATTTTGGAATATTTGTATCGACTTTACTAGTTGAGCATCTGTAATCTGAAATGATCCAAAACTGGAAACTTTGAGTAACATGTCAATGTTCAAAATGTTTTGGATTAAAACAAAAAACAAAACCTAGTTGGGCATGGTAGCTCATGCCTTCAGCACTTTGGAGGCAGAAGCAGGCACAGAGCTCTATGAGATCTATCTAGGCTAGTCTGGTCTACAAAGCAAGTGCCAGGTCAGTTGGGGCTACAGGGATCCCAACGCTGTCTCAAAAAATACAAACAAAAACAAAAACAAAAAAAATCAAACCAAACCAGCCAATCAAAACCCCCATTTTCTGCAGCGTTAGGGATTGAACCTGGGGCCTTATACAAGCATGCTAGGCAAGTGACCCACACTGCTCTATATCCCTAGCTCCCAAAAGTTTTGGGATTTCAAAATTTAGACTTCCAGATTAGGGGTGCTTTGCTTGTATAAAGTTCAGGAAGAAATTATATAAAGAAAGCAAGGGTTAGCTGAGCATGGTGGCTAGCGAGTTCCAGGCCACCTGGGGCTATAGGATCCTGTCTCAAAAAAAAAAAAGACAAGCAAGGGCTTAGCAGTAAATAATATTTACATGGTTATAAGGGAAACACAAAACAAGAGGATTAACTGAAAGCTGTGACATAGGTATCTTTAGAAAATGAAAACAGAATAGCAGAAGCCAGATCTAAATTTTAGATTTAGCCAAGTGTGGTGACACAGTTTCACTTAAGTCAGGTGTGGTCACACATGTAATCCCAGCTCTCTGGAGGCTAAGTAAGAGATCCTTGAATTTGAGGGCAGACTGGGCTATACAGTCAGAAACCGTCTCAAAAACAAAACAAAACAACTCATTTATTGCACTAAGTAGTTAGAATGCTGATTTAGAAACATCAAATGGTAGAAAAGGGGAGTTTTTCTACTTAAGTCTTTTAGCATTAAGGTTTAACACAGTATTTTAAAACCTTAATGCTATGACGCAGCCTTATAAACCAGAACAGCTGAAATTAACAAAATCACATGCTATCTAAAACTTGTCTACTACTTACCCACTTTCAGCTAAGGCCTCTCTTGTTTTTACTGGCAAGGTGCTCGTTTCCAGCAAGTGCTTCAGGGAAGTAACTTCTTCTTCCGCAACAGGGACAAATATGGAAGGAAAACATGCTTCGAAAATTCGCTCCAGGCGGTTTAGTAAAGCTGTCTGAATCAATCCCCCCCAAAAGTTTATTTTTATCTCATCATTTTAGATAATATAATTTCATCATTCACACACATGCGTGTGTGCACACATACACATAATCATAAGAGAGGGAAGGAAACCATCACTCAAGTACAGAAAACACTAAGTGCAAGAAACTCCTAGAGCGGTCACTCTAATGACATGCTAATCATGGTGCTGTTACAGCATGTGGAAGTAAGTGTAGTGAGATGCCAAACATCACTTAGTACACGTGTTATCTTAACATGTATTATCTTAACACACACACAAAGAAAAAGTTATTACTCTATTGTACAGTGAGAAGGTAACTTCCAAGTTTGAATAATCTGCCAAAAGTCAAACCAAAAAGAGCGAAAAAAAAAAAATTCAGAAAACATGCATCATCTCTCCATTACTCATGTTGTTACATTTATTTATTTATTCTGGGGTGGGGGAATACATGGAGGTCAGAGGACAACTGGGAGTCAGTTCACGCCTTTCAATATGTGGACTCTGGGAATCGAACTCAGGTCTTCAGGCTAGATAGCAAGTGCCTTTACTCACTGAGCCATCTTGCTACGTATTTTAAATGATTTATTTTTTTAATTTTATATGTATGAGTGTTTGCCTGCATGTATGGGTACCAACACATGCCTGGTGCTTACAGGGGCCGCAAGAGGATGTCAAATCCCCTGGATTACAGAGGTACAGATGAGAAGTGAGCCACCATGTGGTGCTGGCACCGAACCTGGGTCCTCTCCAAGAGCAGCCACCACTCTTAACCACTGACTCATCTCTCCAGCATCTTAATTTTTATTGAAAAGAAATATAACATATCATTTATCCTTTTGATATTCTGCATTATCTTCTAGAAACTTCATCTTTCTACTTACCTTGAAATAAAGCCTTCAAAGTCACTAGAGGATTTTCATCAAAAAGGAGATAAATTTATATGGCATTTTGGGATTAAAAAAAATAACTTAAAGGTGTTGCATTTAGAATAACTTGATTTTTTTGTACCACTGGAGTTATTGTATATATACAAAGTTTTACACACACACACGCACACACACATACACACAAGATATTTTCAAACTGAACCCAATTTATTATTTAAACATCAAGAGGAAAATAAATTGCTAAATTAAACCTGTTCAAAGACTAAGTGTACTAATGAAATTGATAATACAAAAAACTGCCACACCAAGTAGCCCTCCCTGCCAACTAACATAAACAAGTTAACACTTGTAAAAGTAAAAAGAAAAACAACAGGGATAGCTTTCATAAACACATTCTCCAAACCAAAAATCTCCCTTTTGGAAGCTGTACTAGAGCAAAAAACTTAACTGCATACCTAATTAGTCTCAGGGTACTCTTCTGCTAACTCTACAAAAGTTCTCTGATGCCCTCATTATATTTATGGCTGACATGAGAAAAGGTCTCTCTCTCAATTATGAGCCCTAAAGTAAAGGGTAGACTTAAGATCCCCAGGCTCATGAAACCTGAGCGTGTCAAGGGGACCCAGCACTAACTGGATTCAACAGGGGGAATGGACAGACAAGACTTTGAGAGATCAGATAACTAATTGGAAACATGATGAGAGTTTCCCTCCTGGGCAGGGAAGGTAAATAAAAACTTACCTATGATCAAATTTTATTTAACTGAAAATTAAATCTTTTATTGTATTATCTTTGTTATCATTTTAAAGGGACAGGAAAAAAACTCTAACCCAGAAGAAAACAATGGCCCTAAATTCCGTAGGCTGGGTAATATTACACAGAACTTAGGTCTTAGGTACACTAGTGTACCAGTGAACAGATTCTCAAATGATTTCAATATATGAGGGAGACAATTCCATTAAACTTAGTCACTTCATTTTTTTCTTGTTCCCTCAACCTTTTCCCATAAAGGATATAAACTACATAGAAATTTTAAAAGTGAGTTTCACGTATCTTTAGGGTTAGACAATTGTTTCTTGAATGAGACAAAATAGGGTTTAGCAATCTTTCAACAGAGAGCCATACAATAAATATTTTAGGCTCTAAACATTCCAGGTTTTGCAGCCCTTCTTTAAACAAGTATGAGTGGGCTCTGGTAAAACTTCATGGACAAAAGCAAGAAGCGGGGGGCAGATCTGTCCTGTGGGTCGCACTTTGCCAACCCCTGTGTTGGAACAATAAATAAAGATACAGGTAACAGGAACATACAGGGAACAAAACAGTCACAACTAGGCTCACTATTGATATATTTTAAACCCCTGTTTAACATTCTAATGGATAATGAAATTATTTCTCTCAATCTATTCATTCCTACTACATAAAAATGTAACAAGAAATTAAATCCAAGTATTCTGTATCCTCGCTAACATCGTCCATGGGAGGGGGCAGTGGCTAGTTTCCAAGTATCTATTCTTCTGTTGTTGTTTTGAGACAGGGTCTCCCGAAGCCCCAGCTGGTCTGGAACTCACTACAGAGACCAGGTTAGCCTGGATATCACAGAGATGTGCCTGTCTCTGCTTCCTGAGTGCTGGAATTAATCAAGTATTTCTTTTTAAGAGCCTTTTGTTTAAACTCTTATTTAAGGAGGCTACTCCTGTTGACTGTAAGCTTTGGATATTAGTGGTTGCTTATTAATACATCGTATTATGAAACACAAAGTATACAAAGCATGTAGTAAGTATGCTTAAAATATTTTGCTTCTGGGGCTGGACAGATGGCTCAGTGGTTAACAGCACTTACAGCTCTTGCAGAGGACCAGGGTTCGAGTCCCAGCACCCACATGATGACTAACAAATGTTTGCAATTTCAGTTCTAGGGGATCCGAAGCCCTCTTCTGGCCTCCACAGGCATTACACACAGAGATACACTTACATGCAGGCAAAACACTTATACACATAAAATAATGCATTTTAAAAATTAAAAAAAAATTGTCTCTAAAAAGCACTATCAAGTTGAAAAATGGAATGGAATGTAGTCCAAGTAACTTGGTAAACCGAGTAAGTACAAGAACACAACTAATATAATGCTCAGAAGAAAAGAAAGCCTACCAAGAAGAGCAGCTTCAATTTTGACCAGACAGGTTTTTTCCCCTCAAGAAACTGATTTTGTTAAGACACTACAATCAGACACTACTTTAAAATAACAACCACTATTTTTACCACTGCAGTTTGAACAAGAAACTTAGCATATCAAAGCTAGAGTTAATAAGGTAAAATATTAAATTGTTTTCTCTAATGAGTAAAAAACTTTGTACTTGTCTACCAATATGAACTTTTTTAAACATATTTTATTTATTATTTTTGTGTGTGTGAGTGTGTTGCCTGCATGTATGTGAGTGCACCCGTGTAGTCCAATGCCATGGAGGTCAGAAGAGGGCTTTGGATTCCCTTGGAATTGGAGTTAAAGATGGTTCGTAGCCACCATGTGGGTGCTGGGAATCAAACCCAGGTCCTCTGCAAGAGCAGTCAGTGCTCTTAACTGCTGAGCCATCTCTCTAGCCCCATGAACTCCTCTTTCTAAACAGAGTATATCTGGACTAATGAGACATTTATTCCTGGTTTTGGTTCACTGGGGACACCACCCAATTTTTAAAAGTTGTTGTAACTAACTCAGAAGAAGACTGCACTAATTAGTAACTTTTAAAAAAATATAGTCCAGATTGGCCTTAAGTTCCCAATTCTGCTTCAGCCTCCCAAGTGCTGGGATTACAGGTTTGCATTACCATGCCTGGCTCTACAGTGACATTTACCAACATTCTTCAGTATATATGGGTTTGAATTAGATGTAAAATTTCAAAAAATTACACTCTATTACTGAAGAGTTGGTAGTAAAGTCAGGTTGGCTGAGCTTTAGTTTAATTACACACATAAGGCAGCACATGAAAGCAAACAAAATCAGTACGAGACAGTTCAGGAAAGTAAGGGATTCAGCAAAAGATCAAAGGTGCTCCCAGAACACACTCCTAACACTGCGAAAGCCTCAAACAACGTATTACAGTTTTTGTTAACATTATATGGTGCTTAACCATGTGCCAGGCATTATTCTAAATGCTTTACAAATACTGCCTCATTTAAGACTTATAAGAACCATATGGAAAGTAATGACATTAATTCCACTTTCTAGTTAAGAAAAATGGAATACAGAGCACTTCTATTAATTTGCCTATGGCCACATAAATATTAAGTGGGGGAGGCTGAATTCTCACTTTGGAAGTACAGTTTTATATTAAATGCTTTTAACCACTATGTTTTCTTGTCATGAAAGCAGCTTTAAGTTTGACTTCCGAAAATTACAGGCGTTTTGAAGGCAGAGACTGTCTTGCTCTTGAATCGTGAGCACCTAGGTTCCTAAAACATAGGTGGTATAAGAAGGCTAACTAAATCAATGAATATACTAGATTTTAAAAAGGCACTTCATTTTTATTTAAGAAGGGGCACTAACTGTTCTACTTATAGGAGTATACCTTTTGCAAACCATTTAAATCTTTCAAGCACATAGGTTGGCATGTTTATCCAATTATAATGTGTATTGATAACAACAGATGAATGCATTCTATGATTCACATAAGTATTACTTGATGAATCTTTTAAAAGAAACCCCACCAGATAAGGATTATTATCTCCATGTTATAGACAAACAAATGGAAGCTCTGCATGCTCAAGTTCATTAGCCACACTCTTATGGTTGGCATCATACAAACCAATGATCTGATCCAAATCTGACTTTAAAAGCTACATTCTTTTTACAAAATCATGCTTTTACCCACTTTGTGTAGGTCTTTTAAACATTTCTAGCCCTTAGATTACGGTGATGATATATCATATGAAATAAGAAAACTGTGGCTAGTTAGCTGAATCCCAGCCAGTTTATCTAACTCTGTTGTGCCACTTCATTCATACATGAGTAAAATTCTAAACCTGCAAAAAGTAGTGCATCTGGCCATGAAACATTTTAAGAACTCTACTATAAAGTAGGGTTGAAAATCAAATTCTCTTCAAAGCAACA